CCACGAACCGAACAGTCTGTATTTGTGCCCCGAGAACCCCCCAGGAGGCCCCAAGAGGCCGTCAAGAGGCCCCAAGAGGCGTCCAACACGCGCCCAAGAGGCTTCCAAGAGGGCCACAAGATACCCCACGCGGCCCCAAGAGGCCCCCAAGAGGCGCCCAAACCGCCTCCAAGAGGCCCCCGAGAGGCTCCCCACGACACCCCAACACATATACAATAGGCCTCAGACCCACAACCCAAGCACGGTGGCGGGATGGGCCGAAGGCCACTAGGATCCACCGCCCCCTGTCGATTCATCGCAGGGGTGCCTGGCGTGCTGGATGATTTCGGTTTTGGTTCTTTTTCCAAAAGAGCTCTCCCAATGGGTTTCGGCCCGTCCCGCCGGCCGCTCCCCCAAGACCCGCAAGACGCACACGCCATCGCCCAATCCCAGTTCTTCCTCCAAGACGGCCCAACATGGCCTCCAGGATGGTCACGTTGGCCCAAGATGGCCTCCAAGATGGTCCAAGATGGCCTCCAAGTCCACCCAAGATGGTCCAAGACGGCCTCCGAGACGGCCCAAGAGGGTCCAAGATACCTCCAAGTTCGCCCAAGAAGCCTCCAAGACGTCCCAAGACGGCCCAAGAGGCCTCCAAGAGGTTCTCCAGGAGGGCCCGAAGAGGCCAAAATCGTCCACTTTACGATGGTTTTGGAAGGATTTCGGTTTTTGTCTTTTCGGCTCCCCGACGCTCCAACACAGCCCAGGAGGCCTCCAAGAGCGCCCCAAAACGGCCCAAGAGGCCTCCAGGAGCGCCCCAAGACGGCCCAAGACGGCCCCAAGACGGTCGCAAGAGGGCCCAAACACGGTCCAAGAGGCCTCCAAGACGCTCAAGATGGCCTCCAAGACGGCCCCGAGGCGCCCCCAGAGGGCCCAAGAGACCTCCAAGATGTCCTCCAAGAAAGCCCGAAAGGGCCAAGACGTCCTCCAAGAAGACCTTCAAGATGCCCACGTATTCCCCGAAGGCTTTCCAAACCAACTCTGGGAACACATGGTCCGATAGCGTGGCCAAGCTCTAGCCCAGCTGTCGGCCACATAGGCGCTTCCACAAAGGCAGGGGGCGGCGGTGATTCGCCGTAGGCGTCTTAGATCCGCCGCCCCCTTTTGATTTATCAAAGGGGTGCCTGGCGTGCCGGACGATATGGCTTTTGGTTGTGGTTCTTTTCCAAAAGAACTCCCCTGGGGCTTCGGCCCGTCCCGCCGACCACCCGGAAAACCCACCTGTCGTCGCCTTTCTTGCCTCAAGATGGCCCAAGATGGCCTCCAAGACGGCCACGATGTCCCAGGATGGCCTCCAAGTTGCTCCAAGACCGCCAAGATGGCCTCAAAGACGGCGTCGATGGCCCCACGATGTACCGAAGACTGCCCTAGATGGCCTCAAGATGATCTAAGACGGCCCAAAAAGCCCGCAAGAAGACTCCAAAACGGCCCACGAGGCCTCCAGGAAGTCCTCCAGGAGAGCCCGAACACGTCAAAATCATTAATTTGCCTTAAATTCTTGAAGGATTCTGGCATTTGCGCCTCTTCCGCTTTCCGACGGCCCAAGACGGCCCAAGAGGCTCCCGAGATCGCCCAAGAGGCCCCAAGAGAGCCCCATGACGGCCCAAGTGGCCTCCAAGACGGCCCCAAGAGGGCCCCAAGACGGCCCAAGAAGCCTCCAACACGCCCAAGATGGCCTCCAAGACACCCAAGATGGCCTCCAAGACGGCCCCGAAGCGCCCAAAGAAGGCCCCAAGTCGGCCCAGAAAGGCTCTCAAGACGGCTCCCGATGGCGTCAGACGTGCCAGGAACCCACCAAGATGGCCGAAGTTGGCTCGAAGCTGGGCCAAGACGGCCCAAGAGGCCCCCAAGATGGCCTCCAGGAAGGCCAGAAGAGGCCAAACACATTGATTTTCCGACGGTTTTTGTCGGATGTGTGCGTTTGCTTCTTTTCGGCCTTCCGACGGCCCGAGACGGCCCAAGAGCCCCCAAAGATCGCCGAAAGATCGCCCAAGAGGCCCCCAAGATGGCCCCAGAACGGCCCAAGGGAGCCCCAAGACTGCCCCAAGAGACTCCCAAGACGGCACTGGAGGCCTTTAAGACGCCTAGGTTTTTGAAGGATTGTGGCATTTGCGTTTTTTCTGCCTTCCGACGCCCCGAGACGGCCCAAGTGCCCCCAAAGATCGCCCAAGAGGCCCAAGACACACGGCCCCAAGAGGACCCCAAGACGGCCCAAGAGGCCTCCAAGACGCTCAAGATGGCCTCCAAGACGGCCCAAGAGCCCTCCAAGACGTCCTCCAAGAAGGCCCGAAAGGGTCCAAATGGCCTCCAGACGGCCAAGATGACTTTCAAGATGCCCACGTGTTCCCCGAAGGCTTTCCAACAAACCGATTCGGGTAACACATGGTCCGACAGCTTGGCAGGTCTGGCCTCAACGTTCGGCATCATAGGCGCTTCCACAAAGGCAGGGGGCGGCGGTGATTCGCCGTAGGCGTCTTCGATCCGCCGCCCCCTGTCGATTCATCGCAGGAGTGCCCGGCATGCTGAATGATTACGGTTTTGATCGTGGTTCTTTTCCAAACGGACCCCCCCCGTGGGGCGTCGGCCCGTCCCGCCAGGGTGCCCATCTTGTCGGCTTCTTCGCTCCAGATGGCTCAAGATGGCCTCTAAGATGGACAAGGTGGCCTCCAGGACGGCTAAGATGGCCCCAAGATGCCTCCAAGACGGTCCAAGATGCACCCAAGACTGCCTAAGATGGCCTCAAGGTGGCTCAAGACGGCCCAAGAGGCGTCCAAGAGGCCTCCAAGACGGCCCAAGAGGCTTCCAAGAGGTCCTCCAGGAGGGCCTGAAGAGGCCACAATCATTGATTTCCCGTAGGTTTTTGACCGATCTGGGCATTTGCTTCTTTTCGGCATCCCGACTGCTGAAGACGGCCCAAGAAGCCGCCAAGATCGTTCCCACAGCGCCCAAGAGGCCTCCAAGATGGCCTCAGGACTGCCCAAGAGGTCCCCAAGACGGCCCCAAGAGGACACAAAGACAACCCAAGAGGCCTCCAAGACGCCCAAGATGGCCTCTAAGACTGCCCTGGAGCGGCCCGAAAAAAGCTAAACTCACTGATTTCTAATGAGTTGTTGAAGGATTGTGGCATTCGAGACGGCCCAAGTGCCCCCAAAGATCGCCCAAGAGGCTTAAGATGGCCCCAAGAGGCCCTCAAGACGGCCGAAGAGGCCTCCAAGACGCTCAAGATGGCCTCCAAGACGACCCGAAAGCCCTTCAAGGCGTCCTCCAAGAAGGGCCTGACGATGCCACAATCATTGATTGGCCTTCGGTTTGTTTTTTGGTTTTTGAATTTGCTTCTTAACGGCTTTCCGACGTCCCAAGATGGCCCTTACGGCCTCCAAGACGGCCCCAGAACGGCCTAAGAGGCCCCCAAGAAGTGCCCAAGAGGGCCCCATGACGGCCTACGGGGCCTCCCCAAGCGCCCAAAATGGCCTCCAAGACGGCCCTAGAACACCCCAAGAGGGCCACCCGGCGGCCCAGAGAGGGCCCCAAGACGGCGTCCCACGGCGTCAGACGGGCCAGGAGGCCACCAAGACGGCACAAGATGGCTCCAAGAATGCCCAAGAGGCCCCCAAGAGGCCCCCAAGAGGTCTCCAAGACTGCCCAAGAGGCCTCCAAGAGGGCCTCCAGGAAGGCCCGAAGAAGCCCAAATCATTTCCTTTTCTGAGGTGGTTGAAATATTTTGGCAGTTGCTTCTTTTCGGCATTCCAACGGCCCCAGGCGGCCCAAGAGCCCCAAACATCCCCCCAAGATCGCCAAAGAGGCCTACAAGATGGCCCCAGAACGGCCCCAAGAGGGCCCGAAGACGGCCTAGAAGGCCTCGAAGACGCCCAAGGTGGCCTCCAAGACGGCCCTGGAGCACACCAAGAGGGCCCCAAATCGGCCCAGAGAGGCCCTCAAGACAGCTTCCGACGGCGTCAGACGGGCCAGGAGGCCATCAAGTCCGCCCAAGATGGCTCGAGATGACCCAAGGCGGCCCGCGAGGCCCCGAAGAGGCCCCCAAGAGGTCTCCAAGGCAGCCCAAGAGGCCCCCGAGAGGGCATCCAGGAAGGCCCGAAGAGGCCAAATTCATATATGCGCCGTCTGTTTTTAGCGATTGTTGGCATGTGCTTGTTTTCTATCTTCCGACGGCCCGAGACGGCCCAGGAGCCCCCAAAGATCGCCCCAAGATCGCCCAGGAGGCCTCCAAGATGGCTGGCCCCAGAACGGCCCCCAAGACGGCCCTAACTAATAGTGCCCCGAGACGGCTCAAGACCCCCACAATATCGCCCAAGAGGCCTCCAAGATGGGCCCAGAACGGCCCAAGAGGCTCCAAAAGTGCACCAAGAGGGCCCTAAGAGGGCCCCAAGACGGCCCACGAGGCCTCGAAGCCGCTCAGGATGGCCTCCAAGACGGCCCTGGAGCACCCCGAGAGGGCCCCAAGTCGGCCCAGAGAGGCCCTCAAGACGGCTTCCGACGGCGTCAGACGGATCAGGAATTCCCTGAGACGGCCAAAGAGGCTTCGGAGAAGCCCTTCAAGGCCCCCAAGACGTCCACGGAGGCCCCCAAGTTGCCTCCAAGAGGCTTCCAGGAAGCTCCCAGGAGGCTCCAAGAGTGCCCCAGAGTCTCCCAAGATGCCCCCTCCTCCTCCTGATCTTCCCCGCCATCCTCTCCCAAGTGTTCCCCGACGGGTTTCTACAACGGCTGAGGGAACAGATGGCCCGACAGCTTGCAGAGCTCTTGCCACAACGCTCGGCCACATGGGCGATTCCAAAAGGCAGGGGGCGGTGGTGATTCGCCGTAGGCGTCTTCGATAGAGAGGAGTCCGAGGTGCAACAGAGAATTATGAGTCCAGGGGGGCGACGCGCAAGCCTGGATGTCTCATCTGGACCCTTCCTGCCGTGCTCGGAAAAGCACTCCGACAAAACAACCAACCAAACACACGTCGCTCAATTGGGGTAGGCGGCAGAGGCGGCAACCTTTAGATAAAGGACGGGCAGTCGACTCAGATGGCGGTCGCGACCGAGACCAACTCAACTGGGACGCTGGTCCTGCTCGGCTTACGCAATAAAATCGTGGTCTGGCATTCTGCTGGGAGCATCGCTGCATCCGTGTGATGCCCAATGTGCCCAAGGTTTAGGTCGGGCGTGTCCTCCGAAAGGCTGATTCTGGACGGACGGCAGGTAAACAATACTCAACACGTATTCCAAACTATTCAAACTAGTAGAAAAAGCGTCCCGAGACTTTTTAAAACTATTTTTGAATGTTCCCCCTGTAGAGGGACAGGCCCGACTTCACCAAAGGTGTTAGACGAAGAGTTTCAAATACTTGATCCCCTTCTCCGTGCGCCCGTGGACGACTTTGACCTCCAGCGGCCCGAAAATCATCCATTTCGGCACATTGTGGCTCTCAACGCCTTCGGCGTTGAGCCCTGTGATGCTGACTTACTGGAAATACGTGTCGGCACAATGGTCACCCAGGCTACGCGCGTCTGCTTCTACCGCAAGAAACGCGTCCTCGACGGGCGTACCACGTGGGATGTTGACCAACGTAGCCTTACCCAACGTCATTAGGTCGAAATGTTCACCGTGGATGTTTTGCATGTGCGGGTCGCCGGTGGCCGTCGCCGAGGTCGGCGGAGTCGCCGCCGGCGTTGGCGCCAGCGTCGCAGCGTAGAAGTCGTGCACCTCTTGTGCTGGTGACGCCAATTTGTAAAACTGGAGGTCGTCGATGGAAACATCCAAGACGTACGACCCTGAACTGCCAACTGATCCGAAGTAAAAGCCTAGAACTGCTTTGTCGACCACAGCGGTGCTGTAAGATATGCCACAACTCGATGCGAGTCTCATACAACAATGCGCCGTCCTTGAAAAGGCGCGTCCCTGTAGGGCCTGACACGATCGCAGAATGCACCCATGTGTCAGACGCTGGCGCATCGGCAATCGATGCCTGCCACGACGCTTCACCCTGGCAATTCCCGCACATGTGGTAAACTCAACGGTTTTATAACTGTCAAAATATAATGTCCCTTGCCCAGTAGGTCTGGAATCAATCAGGTAAGACCGACTGTGCATAAACGGATCGTGCGCCCGCATGTCCATCCACAACAACATACTGGAGGGAGCGCCCGCAGCTCCAACTGAGAATTCTGCTGCACCTGAAAAGCTCTCGAAAAAATAACTCTAACGCTGTTTCTGCCAGTCCACTGCGAATCAGACCCGTAGAAACTGCGCAAACTTGTGGATGTCGTACTAGCAGTGTTTCTGCCAAGATCCGGAACATCATCGAAATCGCATGCACATAACGGAGCATTAGTCGTAATCTCAGTCGGCGAAGGCGTCGGGCTGGGCGTCGGGGGCGAGGTCGGACTGGAGGTCGGGCTGCTCGTCGGACTGGACGTGGGGGACGCGGACGGATTGAAGGTCGGGCTGCTTGGCGGGCGGCTCGTCGGACTGGGCGTCGGGGACGAGGTCGGGCTGCTCGCCAAGGTTGTCTTGCACACGTAGCCCCAGCCCGCGACAGTTCCGTCGCCGACAGTTCTCTGATTGAAATGAAAATAGGTCCCAGCTTTGCTGTAGCATCCTGCAGGACGGACAGTCAGAAGACCGACATTGTCACCACAACCCGAATCGCCGATTGCAGCGCTGGTGCACCGATTGCAGCACTGCTGCGCCGCGATCAACCATTCGCTCTGTGTTATCACGGGCACGAGGCCAAATGCCGAGCACGAACCGCCATACGCGACAAATGTGTATGACACAGGCGTCGGACTGGGCATCTGGGACGAGGTCGGGCTGCTCGTCGAGTTGATCGCCAGGGCGGTCGGATACGGCGTCGGGAAGGCCGTCGGGCTTGGCGTGGGGCTAGGGGTCAGAGTGGGCGTCGGACTAGGCGTGGGACTGGGCTGACATCCTCCGTTTGTAGCGATATCACCCACTTCCCAATCACGATGACCCAGAGCTGCACTTGCACTGTCGAAACGTCCATGAGAATTGCCTACCGTTCCACCGTTGGTACCTTGCCAAAGCATGCCAGAACCAGCCGCAAACTCCACCCCACCGCGGCATTGCCTCAGATCTGGCCAATAAACCGTTCCAGATCCGAGCTCCGCCACCAAATCGAAATTGAAATACCCACCGACGGTGCCATCCGCGTGATCAATGCTCAGCACTGGCAACCACAGATCCGTCGTCTGCGCGGGAGTAGGCGCTGGCGTTGGTGCCGTCGTTAAGCTCTCCTTGGCGTAAGACCTCCTGTTCCAGACGTTCTGGTCGATGATGCTCGTGCATACGTTTGATAGCCACAACGCACATTGCGGCTGGGCTGTGCCGGTCGGCCCTGCCGAGAAACTGAAGGCATAGCAGGATGACAACAAACTGCACTGGTCCGCGGAATCTTGCACTGTGTCGCCAGGCTGGGATGTGTTCCCAACGTTGATGATTGATG